TTTATTTCTAGAACATTGTCGAAAATTCGATGGGGGCTTGTAATAGTAGAAGGTCTTCCATTCGTAAAATTCCGTTAATATTTTGAGCGCACTTACACCAGTCCCGTGCGTCAAATTAAATAGCTTAGCTAGCATACACCAGAATTACGGGCTCCACAAGGTATAAACAAAATTTCGGTAAGGATGCCGTGGTATTCTACAGCGAGAACAGCTCCAATGAATCATCGAGTTATAACCCAGCGATACACGGCCTCGGCACGCCCCATGGATAAGGCCCTTACTGCGCTCAGCCTTCTTGCCGCGATTAGCTCAGATTTCGTGACTTTCTCAAACGCGATAAGCGTTTCGAAACTCCTCCGTGGAATCCAGGCTGATGTGCATCTCGCCTTCTAGGACTGGAAGCTAGCTCGAGGGTTTTGCTTTCTTTACATCGATTGCAAGCTTCTCGCTTCTCTTGCCTAAACCACATCTTGCATACGATGTAAAGCTGTCCGGTGTCGCTCGCCACACTGGTACGCTCCTATTCATGTGGGACTTATCCTCACACCAAGATTAATTTGAGCGCCAGAATGGCGACTTGCGAGCGCTTTTAACTTACAGGTGGTAACTCTCCTAGAATACCGTTTGTGATTGGAACAACAGCGATCAAGATAGCTCAAAAAGTGTGCCTGAGATACTACAAGGTGACGAAAGTGATAATGACGTGCAAATATAGTTAGCGCGCCGGTTAGGAGGTATGCCTCTTCACTCGTCTGAAGATATTACAAGCGAGCCTTAGCAAAGCAAACGCTCGCTTAGAGCATCGTATCATGCTGAGCTTTGCAAAGTACATGGCACGACAAAGATGTCGAGGTGAAAGTACCTCACATTTCTTTTGTTTACTGCCCCAGTTGTCTCCTTGAGTTAGCAAAACAGCTACAAAAATAGGATTTTCATCATCGCAAGATCGGTCGCCTTTTACTAGTGTGAATCACATGACGACAGGCGACTCTTCGTCTTCATCAATAAAGGAATAGATCGTAACAACAGCTGCGGCACCAGAGAATTCGTTCTGAAGCTTAATCTGAACAAAAAGATTTTTTGAATGCGGGTATCCCTTCAATTTAATCAGATACCAGTCACAGCCTTAGTGGACTCGCTCCCCACCACATGTTTCTGTTTCACGTAAAGGAGGACAGCTACCCGCTGATCGAGCAGCACCGATTAATCGTAACGCGGCTGACTATCTTCGGCTCTCTCGGTTGTAATGCATGTCGATTCCTCAGAGAATAACGGCGTGCGTCCAAGACTAAGATTAACTAAATCTTGGATTTGCTGTATGAGCTTTTTCATAGCGCTGCCATGCATGAGGCAACCGTAGCGGATCAGAATTACGTCGCTGATTTGAAGGAGAAAATACATCAGGCATTGGAAATAGTAGAGACGTTGATCCATCTGCAATAGAGCTCTTTGCGCCTGGCTGTATCACGAGCGGATTCGTGGTGTGGCCACAGTAAACCCACTTAATACACTGGATGAGTTTGTATTAATGTTAGTAATTTATATCAGAGTATAATTTAAATCGATCTTGCTACGGCCGTGAATGCACGGTGACAACTAATTTTTCATGGACTGCAGACATAGTGTGTGAAGACAGGTCAATTGAATTTGGAATTTCTTTCACAAAAAGAAATTCCAAATTTGATAAAGGCACACTCATGTGTTGTGACAAACAAAAAATAACATGCCGATGCCTACCTTTGGCATCGGCGTATTGATAATGTTTGTCTTAACGCTAGGCAATAGCGCCACGCACCCTGTGCATGACGCTCAATCTCATTGAGGTAAAAAGCTTAATTTGCTTCGAAGTGTTGCCAGGTTTCTACCTGCACGTCCAATTCGATAGGCAGCCAGTCGTCCACAAAGACTACACACACTGTTGGCGGTGTCAAAGGCAGCTTAATGCAATCAGGGATATTATGCTAGATGAAGCAAAGCGTGTAGAGGTATGTACTGAGTGATTCAATGTAATCTTAATCAGTGAGCACAACTAGCACCATTCCCGCAGTCTCTTTGCGCATGTGCGTCGGAGAACTTTCACAACAACGAATTACGCGTTCCTTGTGACCATTTGTTTGCAAATGGTTAGCGGTTGACATATCTAACCAGGTGTCTTGTATCATGAACAATGCTTGCTGAAACTCTTCTGCATAGCTCGAAAATCTGTCCGACGCAATAGCTACCGATATGCCATATTGACGAAGCTTTTTGTCGAGGAACATCTTGTGTGAAATCCTCGCCGATAACACTATATTGACATTATTGGATGAGCCATCTTGCTCAGACAGTCCACACAGACCAACATTACCGGTCGCGTTATTTGGAATGCAAAAGGTAAAGGTCATTCTGCTTAACTACCAGGACTCTGCGGAACTGACCGGCTGCCTTTAGGTGGGTTTCAACATATCAAACGTTTTGTTTGTGCGTACATATGTGCTCACCTACTTATACTTGACGGGCCACCAACACAAAGTGTTCACAGGATAGTCGAGTAGCAATATATATGAAATTTGCCAAGTGTTTTTTTATTTTAGTATAATAGGGTCTCTGAGCTTACAAACTCCTTGCTTCTTATAACTTTAGGCAACGCAATGTATGCTTTATCTGACCCCACGCTGTTCGTATCACCGTATCAATTGGCGTACCATTGTGATTTTGGACAAGTCATAGCCATGACATCGCGAAAGCGCATCCATTACCACATGATGCCGACCCTCTTAATCTTATCTCAATATCATGCACGGCAAAAATTGATAACATCGTGCTATCTTTCGTGAGAGCCGCGATGAGACTGTTTTTGTGCGACAATCCAGCGCGAAAATGTATGACGACTTGTATATATCACTAACGGCTCAGAGCCAAACAGATGCGCCCTGAATTTTACGAGGACATACTACATTGCAAGCGAATCATTTTCATGAACAAGGTGCTTTTACAAAGCAGCTTTCAGCTGGCAAGACTCAAACGCGATCGCGCTTTGACGCCCACTGCCATCTAATTGAAGCAAAGCGCAGCTCATTGAAAAGACTGAAGCGTCACAGACGGTGTGCAATTCCCGACCACAACTTAGAACAGTCAGAATTGGAACACGCATGATGCTTCGTTTAATAGCCTAAGAGGCCGCCTAATTTGTCGAATCCCGAAACCAGTTGGTTTTCCGTATAAAGAGATTGGTGAGTGGTCGTACTACGTGCTTGTGCAAGTATTTGGCCAGGACAAGGCACTTTCTCAAGTCCTATCAGAACAGAGGCATTGTTTGGTTCACAATTGTCACTTTATTTGCGGTATCTGCCCGCAGGCCCTATCGCCCAATGCAACGAACCAAAAAGAGAGTTTTTTGTTGGCGCCAGATACAACTATATCTGAACAGCTTATATCGCCGTATATACTATAGCACCCCTCCCAAGCACTCAATATATACACACATCTGATGTTCTGTGCTTTTTCTGGCGCCAGATACACATATATCTGTCTCGGCAAACGGCTTATATCGCCGTATACACTCTTGCACCGATCGCAAGCACTCAATATGGTTATAAACATCTGATGTTCTGTACTTTTTATGACAACGAACAGTTGATGTGTTCTAGTTTGCGTGTCACTTGAAGACTAATGGTCGCTGGTGCTTGATACAGTCCCTGTGGCATATTCAGCCACTCCCGCATAATCTCGCTCGTGATGATAGCATTCAGCCAGTGAACAGTGCGGGAGGTTTCGACACCTAGCCATTTCTACTTTCTACCAGCACTAATATGGAAAACACCAGCTAACAGCTGTGGACAACTGTGTCAAAAAGTATAATCTATGGAGACCATGACACACCGTCGTACATTTCTGTTAAAACAGAAACCCACTCCTGATACCGCAACACACAGTGTTTTTTCTCTTTTTTATTTCAAAACGCAATTTCTGCCTTTCAAACTCCAATCAAAGCAATGGTCAAAATCGTTTTTGGTCAATTCGGGCAGTCTCATGCCGTAGGCCGAAGGTATCGCACGCGTGAAAAGCACACCTACTTCTCGTAAAAGTGAGTTCATGCATCGCAAAAACTCATCTAGGAGAAAAATACCTGGCAGCTAACAATATTAACTTAAAGTGGATCCATGGCTTATGGCGTTTGAGCCACGCCACATATGGATTATGACCACCGCAAATTTTGTTTTAGGACAAAAGGTGACTTCACGCAGCCAAACCCCCAAATGTCACCTAAAGGTTCAACAATAGTTCCGACACTGTTCAGAAGATACTCGAACACTGTATCTAATTTCGGCATCGTGAAAGCTGTTTTCTGTTTTCAGTTCCGAGCGCCGAACGTAATTGCTCGTATTAAATTTTAGCAAGCCCATCCACGGCTTCACAACTTTTGAGAAGTGGATGTTGCCAGCTGGCAACCTTCGG